GCTTTTCTTAGCTCGCCAATGACCTGGCTCACAGCAGCTAAGCTCCGGTGTGTTTCACCTATCTTTAGGATAACGAGACCCCTTGTACTAGTACCCCGGACTATAGGTCTGCGACTATATAAAGGGGCAGAGCAGCAGCTGGAAGATAACCTCTTCCACCTGTGACTCTGAATGTTCTCAGTTCTAGAACCCTCATGCAATCGTACTCACTCTCAAGAGGTAGTAAGCTCGTATGCTTGCTAGAGTCAGAACAGCGAACCTAGTAACCTGCGGGTGAATGTGCAGTAGCTGTAGCGGCCAAGGCCTAGCAAGGGTAGAGTGAGGACCTCACTGCTACATCATCTACTAGGCTTGACCACACTATAAACCCTGCTAATAGTCTGCCTGACTATTGGAGACATTAGGTATATTTGGTACCTAAGTCTCTGTCTACGCTGTGGACTAGTACATGTGAGAAAGCACACGTGGTTCTGAACGTTCTAGCAGGGAACGCTTCATAACATTTGGAAGAGGTTTTTCTATAGGTCAACCTGTTTAGGTTTAGAACCACTTACAAGAAGTGGGGTCTACTTGGACACTACAGGAAAATCAAGACCTGTGTGGTCACTTCCTGAACCTGTGTGGTTCAATTAAATCTGTGTGTTTATCGAACTCAAGCACTAGCGGTTACCTGTGTGGTAATCCAGAAGAGAAGCCCTCAACTGAGGCACACGTAGAAGATGTGCTAAAGCCCTTCCCAGGAAAGGCAATCCAGAATCAAGAAGATTCAAGGAACTAGCGGTAGTCTGTGTGACTATCCAAAAGAACTCTGTGTGGAGACGCGGACCCGTGCGATCGACGAACAATTGGTTAAGAGCCACCAAGAAAAGGCAAGATGTCATATCACGAAAACAAAGGATACGAATCGGACTCCAGAGATGAGTCAGTAGGCTATCAAGGAGATAAAGGATACATGATGCCGTTGTCATGGAACGATGCTACCAATGAAGAATTAGATTGGTTCGAAGACGTCAGGAATACGCGAGCCATTGTGCTGCGAAGACGACAAAGGTTGGGGAACCTTACAACTCCAGAAGAACAGCAGGAGCTTCGAGAGCTCGAACATGACATTGAAGAAATTCGACGGGTACTCAACAATAGCAAGGACATCGCAAAGGACTTCGAGGACAAATTCCTAATGCATACGGACCTTCCTAAAGGAAAAGCAATACAAGTCGATCCAAGGCCAGAGGACGCTGAAGGATCAAACAAGGATAAAGGACAGGAGGAATGGAATCCTCTTGGCATCAATCCAAGTCTACTAAGGAATGGTGACTCCAGCATTACGCCAACATCCAGGAAGCCCTACGATGGGTTAGGATTATGGAAAGGAGTCAGGACGACACCTTTAACCAGGACATCCTCAGAAGGAGGAAGGCCAGTAATGCCAGTCAGAATGCCAATAAGGCCACAGTCGGCCATGGCACAAACAAGTAACTTGGGAACTACTAGCCCAAAATCTCATCAAAGCATGGTATGATCCTTCAAGTGGACCACCAGTGCATCCAGGACTGACGTGTCTGGAATTTCAGTGGCAGGAATATCTCCTGGAAATGAATCTATATGCGCTGTATAATTCTGCACAACCAGAATCAGAAAAGGAGGAATTACAGCTAGGGGAGATCTGACCGTTTGCAGAAGATAAGCGAACATTTACGTCATTCCTCCAGGCTGGAGAACGACATCTCCAGGCAAACATCCACATATACGATGATGACTATAGTCAAATAATGTTCATCCTATCCCACTTCGAACCTGGTTCAGCAGCAGCAAAATGGGTCGAATCATGGGAAGCAGCGATGATCACATCTACAGGAAGATTGGATGATCTAGGACTTTATCGCGACTTTCAGATGACACTCCAAGAAAAGTATGGAGGAGTCGCAACCAAGGACCAAGCATGGCAAACGTTACTCGACAATCAGTGTAGGCAGAAGAAAGGAAAGGTCGACGATTACATTGGGAATCTCGACATCCTATTTCGCTATGCTGAAATCGATGACAACTATACCAAGCTCGTTCATTTCAAGCGAGGCTTGGAATCGAAATTGGCAGAAAAAGTCTTCCTCATCCCTAATCCTCCAACTGCGTATGAGGATGCTTGTGACCTGGCGAGACAAGTCAATGACCTTCGAAATGTCCATAAGGGAAAAAGCAATATCTTCAATTTCATCACACATGCGAATCAGAGCGATTCAATAGATGAAGGAGAGTCGATGGATATAGACAATCCTAATGCAATGGACATCGATAGGGCACGACGAATACGACAAGTACAGAGCCGTCCAGTCAAGGAACGCCTATGCTATAGATGCAGAAAGCCTGGGCACGAGATGGATCAATGCACTGCAAAGAAGCCAAACAGTGATCGAACCCTGCCCGTACAGGTCGTATCAAAGAAGAAGCGGAAGACCTCTTCAATTAAGAAGAAAGATGCACACGCGTCTACCAGATCAAAAGAACCCTCAAAAGATCCATCGATCACAAAGAAAATGCAAAAGCAGATTGAGCAACTAGTAACAAAGTTGGTCAATGCAAAGCTTGTCAAGCTTCTTCTCAGAGGCGACAGTCGAGACCACCATGTCGATCAGAAGAAGACGATGATGAACCTATGGATATCGATCGAATGTCTGAACATATTCTTGGCATGAATACCATTCGAATTGGTGCCATACGAACTCATTCATTGCATAAAGACCAAACAGCCTTTCCTACGTCAATATGGAAGGAAGTACTTATGTCATCGCTCGATATCAGTCAAAAAGAATGGCATGGTATCAAGGCCATTGTCCAAAGGAAATTTGACAAGAGGCGACAAGAAGACGATGACGAAAGTACTTCGTCTACATCTTCCTCTTTAGCAAACAGCATGCCCAGCCAACATATGGAGACATGTCCTAACCAGAAAGGCAAACAGAAGAAGACAAAGCAGCGGCAGTCGACTAAGTCAGGCCAGCAGTCTTCACCATCCATTAACCAATGGATCAATCAGCCATTCAAAGGAACTCACGAAGATTCTCATCATTCACAATCGGGACAAGGACAGTTCTCTGGTCGATGCTGGAACTGCAATCATATCGGACATCATGAATTCGAATGCCCAAAGCTGCATCGGAAGGACACTACCTCTGCAAACAGTAACCAATCAAGGTCACGACCATTGCGAAAGAGTGAACGATGGAATGCAGGACGAATCCCTGATTCATTATCACCCAAGCATCCCAAGTCAGCCTATGCATGAAACTCCAGTATTGATTCCTCGAATCCAAGCACTGGCAGCAATGCGAAGCAAGGAACACCTCTGAGTCCCTTAAACCGACAAGTGCATCACAGTGGACGTACCGTCGAGTTGTTTAACAGCGATTCTGAATCATCAAGCACCAATCAGACTTCTTGGGTGGATCAAGTCGAAAAGAGATACCTGTCTCTGGGCAGCCCTGCACCAGAACAGTCAAGCATCAGCACGAATGATGAATCCTCTGCTGAATCACACAACAGCTCCATGCATACTGTTTCAAGAATACTTCCTTCCTCGAAGCGGAAGCACAGATGGAGAAGACAGGATCTTATAGTTTAATTGCCAAGAGGTCTTGGCGGTTGGAGAGGGAAGCTTGTGTTACGAAACGTACCGTCGTTCATAGTCACGTGATCCCCATGAACAAGCGCCTAGAAGAGATGCCCAATCATGGTCAGGTGATATCAGTCACTATGTGACAGAGGACCGCTTCTAGTCACTATGTGACCAAGGACAGCTTCTAGGGTTCTCAAACTCTAAACTCAGGATCTGCGATCCAGGACTTTGGTTCTCATTTTATATTTCAGGTATTTCACCTACGCTTTTCTTAGCTCGCCAATGACCTGGCTCACAGCAGCTAAGCTCCGGTGTGTTTCACCTATCTTTAGGATAACGAGACCCCTTGTACTAGTACC